TTAAGGTTTTCCTGTGAGACAGAAGTATGAAGTGGGTTTGCAGTGTTGGACTTTTGTTGTTCTTTTGTAATTTTTTGTTTTCTTTTCGTCCTGGGTGGTGCTTTCAAAAGCATATATATATATGTATGTATATGCGTGTGTGTATATATATGTATGTATATGTGTGTGTGTGTGTATATATATGTATGTATATGCGTGTATGTGTGTATATATATGTATGTATATGTGTGTGTGTGCACGTATGTGTGTGTGTATATACACACACACACACACACACACACACACATATATATATATACACAAACATTTTTTTTTTTTTGAGACAGTCTCACTCTGTCACCCAGGCTGGAGTGCAGTAGCTCCATCCCAGCTCAAGGCAACTTCTGCCTCCCAGGTTCAAGCGATTCTCCTGCCTCAGCCTCCCAAGTAGCTGGGACTACAGGCATGAATCACCACGCCCGGTTAATTTTTATATTTTCAGTAAAGACGGGTTTTCACCATGCTGGCCAGGCTTGTCTTGAACTCCTGATCTCCAGTGATCTGCCCCCCTCAGCCTCCCAAAGTGCTGGGATTACAGGCATGAACCACTGCACCCAGACTTGTTATAAAACTTTTTTAAGAAAATAAGGCAGCTGAGTGTGGTGGCTGACACTTGTAATCCCAGCACTTTGGGAGGCAGAGATGGATGGATTGCCTGAAGTCAGGAGTTCAAGATAAGCCTGGCCAACATGGTGAAACCCCATCTTTACTGAAAATATAAAAATCAGCTGGGCCTGGTGGCGCATACCTGTAGTCCCAGCTACTTGGGAAGCTGAGGCAGGAGAATTGCTTGAACCCAGGAGGCGGAGGTTGTCTTGAGCCACTATCGAGCCACTGCACTCCAGCCTGAGGGGCAGAGTGAGACACTGTCTAAAGAAAAAAAAATCCCAACAAATGAGGTGGGTCTCATTTTGTTGTTCAAGCTGGTCTTGAACTCTTGACCTCAAGTAATTCTCCTACCTCAGCTCCCTGAGTAGCCAGGATTACAGTTGCATACCATCATGCCTGGTTTTTGTTTTTTTTTTTGTTGTTGGTTTTTTTTTTTTTTTATTTTTAAATATTCTAACCTTGAGATTCGGCGTGTGCTTTAAAGAGGAAAGAGTTGTTTTAAAAAGAACATGTATTTTGCCAGTGTGGTGGCTCACGCCTGTAATCCAAGCACTTTGGGAGGCTGAGGCGGGTGGATCACTGAGGTCAGGAGTTCAAGACCAGCCTGACCAACACGGTGAAACCCTATCTCTATTAAAAACACAAAAATTAGCTGAGTGTGGTGGCGTGCACCTGTAATCCCAGCTACTTGGGAGACTGAGGCCGGAGAATCATTTGAACCTGGGAGGCAGAGGTTACACTGAGCTGAGATCAGGCCATTGCACTCCAGCCTGGGTGACAGAGCGAGACTCTGTCTCAAAAATAAATAAAAATTTAAGAATATATTTTATATTCTTATAGTGATATTTTTACCAGCAGTATATAATAATGAGCACTGAAATCAGGCAGACCTGGTTCAAATCCTGCTTTGCCATTTTCTAGCCATGTGATCTTAGGAAAGTTACTTTCTTCTCTGAGCCATTCCCCTCCTTACAAGGCTTTTGTAGGATATAATGCGATAATGTTTTTAAAATAAGTGTTAGGCCGGGTGCAGTAGCTCATGCCTGTAAATCCCAGCACTTTGGGAGTCCGAGGCAGGTGAATCACTTGAGGCCAGGAGTTTGAGACCAGGCAGGTCAACATGGAAAAACCCCATCTCTACTAAAAATAGAAAAATTAGCTGGGCATGGTGGCACATGCCTGTAATCTCAGCTACTTGGGAGGCTGAGGCAGGAGAATTGCTTGAACTCGGGAGGTGGAGGTAGCAGTGAGCCAAGATGGTGCCATTGCACTCCAGCCTAGGCGATAGAACATGACTCCATCTCAAAGACAAAAAGTGTTCCATAGGTTACTCACTTGTATAATAGCCTTATAAATTAGATACTGTTATTGTCATTTTACGGCTGAGAAAACTGATGCCCAACACCACATAACTAGTACATGTTAGTGTCCGTCTTTGAACCCAGGCCAGCTTGGGCACCTGCCCTCAGATTTCCGTGATGTGCTTTACCATGTGCTCAAAGCCCTTGGAACAGTCCCTGGCATTAGTAAATGTCTAATAAATGGTGGCTGTGTTATGATTCTTTTTTTTAATCTCGACTTTGGGGGTGCTTTGGCCAGAATTTCAAATCTATTTTGTATCTTTTAAGGCATGTAAATTTTGTAATTTTTGCTGCAAAGCTCTTGAATTTCCAGGATTAATTTCCCCCTTTTCTTCAAATGTTTAAATCGCAGGTGCAACTGCCAAAAGAACTCGCATAAGAGGCAGCAGAGTCATCTAGAAGAACAGGAAATGGAGATAATGACTTACGGATTACAGCATGGAGACTATGTCAGCAGCAATGCTTTAGGATTCACGTGGCGGAACTGGGAACAATGCTACCATCTGATGGGGTATTTGTAAAAGGCAGAATGTTTGGGCCATGAAGAATTAGGGGCTGAAGAGGAAGGTGGAAGGAGATAAAATATAATATTCAGGCTGGGCATGGTGGCTCACGCCTGTAATCCCAGCACTGTGGGAGGCCGAGGTGGGTGGATCACGAGGTCAGGAGATTGAGACCAGCCTGGCTAATATGGTGAAACCCCGTCTCTACTAAAAATACAAAAAAATAGCCAGGCATGGTGGCGGGTGCCTGTAGACCCAGTTACTCAGGAGGCTGAGGCAGGAGAATCGCTTGAACCTGGCAGGTGGAGGTTGCAGTGAGCTGAGATTGCACTCCAGCCTGTGCAACAGAGCGAGACTCTGTCTCAAAAAAAAAAAAAAATATATATATATATATGTATATGTATATATATATACGTATATATACACATATATACGTATATATATGTATATATGTATGTATTCAGAGGCAACATTTTCTACTTGCAATCAATTTGAGTGACTTGGGTGAAATTTAGAGTCATGCTTCCAGAAACAGTAGTTAAAAAAAAATTTTTTTAAACAAACATTCACTTCATTATTATTTTCTTCTGGAAAATAATAAATAAAAGTGTTAAGTATTATATTCCCATTTTTTTCTCCTTCCATCTTTTCTACTATAATCCATCACATAGTATCTTAAAAGGAACAGACAATGTTTCATCCTATGAAAATGTGAAGGATGAATTGAGCTCCTGGCCCTTCTGATCCTTTGAAATGAGAGAATTGTTCCTTAGCGCTTCTCTGGAGAATCAGTGGAGCTTTTCAGCTTCCCACCCTGCCTGGCTTTATCCCTCGGTGACTCCCTTGGTATTTTGGAGTATTCTTTCTATAGGAGTATCTTTGAGGAGCAGAACCCATAAGCCACAGAATGTGGTGAAAAGTAAATGTCACTAGGAAACGTCATGGGAAATGTAAACCCTGCATATGTGAAAACTTCCTGGCAGCAAGTTTTCATATATAGGGGGACAATGGGAGACAGCGTGCTGTTTTTATAGGAAAAACATTTTACATAATATAGTTAATGACAAGCTTTTGGTTTTGGCTAAATAAACTCACACACATATACACACTCATATATGGTTTACTCTGTAAGTCTAATTTGGTTTTATCACTCTCAAACATCTTTTAAAGGAAACTTGCTTACAGGATTAAACTTGAGCTACTTATCCTATCCTTCAAGGTACTCCATTGCCTGGCCCCAATTTACTAATCCTGTCTTATCTCCCACAAATCCTTTATACTCCTCTTGATGAAACATCCTTGTGCACACCCCCTGCGCCTTTGCTCGAACTAACCCTTCCATAGAATACCCCCCAAGAGACTTCCCTCTTGCTCTCCATTAATGAAAGTCCTGTCCAGTCTTCAATTCCCAGGTCAGGTCCTGTGTCCTCCATAAAATCTTTCCAGACAACTCCAATCTGTCCTTCTTCCAAGTTCCTAGAGACCTTAATTATTGTAGTCACTAGGTGCATAGAATTTGAGATTTTTGTAATAGAAGTAGTGTGAACCCTAGAAATTAGATCAAGCTTTGGGCCGGGTGCAGTGGCTTACACCTGTAATCCCAGCACTTTGGGAGGCCAAGTCCAGCAGATCACCAGAGTCAGGAGTTTGAGATCAGCCTGACCAACATGGTGAAACCCTGTTTCTACTTAAAAAAAAAAAAAAATACAAAATTAGCTGGGCATGGCAGCTCATGCCTGTAATTCCAGCTACTTGGCAGACTGAGGCAGGGGAATCACCTGAACGCGGGCGGCGGAGGTTGTGGGGAGTGGAGATTGTGCCATTGCACTCCAGCCTGGGCAACAAGAGCAAAACCCCGGCTCAAAAAAAAAAAAAATTAAAGAAAGCCCCTATGCATTTGTTTGTATAGCCACAGTATTAACAAAGTCAGGAATTTCAAAAAGTGCTGAAAGAGGATTTTTATCTTAGATACACAAAAAGAAAAGATGATCCAATGTCATAGCTTATGGCCTCAATACACAGGTTTTGCCAAAAGAGGTGAAACAGTTCACATTATGCTTTTTCTAACTACCACCTGATTCTAAAGATCTTACAGATTTTAACTGGTTTTTCAAGTGTAATCATAATTTACCACATTTATATGTTACATTTTTCTATTACCCTTCTAGAATTGACCACTGGCCATTAGTAATTACTAATATCTTTTTTTTTTTTATTAGTCTTTCTGTGTTTACTATATTTCGTCATCAGAATTCACCTTGCAGAAAATGAAAGGGGCTAACATGTATATAAAACTCATGTCAGGTTTAAAAATAGGACTAGAATTGTTTTATTCTGGCTGCAAGTTTAAAGTATTCAAGCTTTACTAAACAGTATCTGAAACAGCTAAAGTGTTTGCTATATAGTACATCTTCACTGTATATAGGGTCGTCGCCAAGTGTTTCAGATATTTAAGACAGATGTGTGTTAAATAAAGTCTCACCAAAAAAACCTTTAATCAATTTTATTCTTCATATTTGGGTAAGGGTACAGATGCTAGACCATGTCTGTAAAGTCATGGTGATATCACTGTGCTAAAGATGATGGCTATAGGTTGGCTGAGAATTTAAAATGCAAGAAAGATTAGAAGGAGCATATCATTGCTGCTTATTCTAGGACATACAAAGAGTTTCTTCAGTAAGTACCACTCCAGTTGACTTCACAATTTAATGGCTATGGAAACCTAAATGTTTCCACTTCATCTATGAAATCATTCAATTGGCAGGCAAAACATTTTTTATAACCTGTTTATGAAAACATGAGGAACGGATGAAAAGTAATAGAATGTATAAATTCATGCTATCGTAATTCTAATGTCTAGCTATAAAAGCATATGGTTTTAACAGTTGCCATCTAAAATTTTTATGAGCTGCAGAAGCTGCATTCCATTTGCATGACCACTTTTTAAAGTCTTTTTGCTTGGTCATCTAAAGATGTTTTTCAAATTTCAAATGATCAGCCATTATTGTCCTCCTTATACCCCTAAGGAATTAATAAAATGCACATTCATTTCCTTCTTTCTAAATGTTCCAGTTAAAAACTGAACAATAAAAAAAAATGGGAAACATTATCTTGGACCTTTTTTGTTTTTTCATTGTAATAACAAAAAATGTGCAAGGTAAACAAAAGTCAAGTTTGTTTTATTTTTTTTGTCTGTTTTTTAACAGGTCTGTCCAGAATAATACAGGTTAGAGAGCTGTAACCATCTTAAGGAAGTGACATTAAGTTTGCAACAAATACCTGCTGGTGAAAACATATACTAGCATTTCAAAAATTTACAAAAATGTAACAAAATATCCTAGACAGCTATTTTTATATTTGTAAACAAAGTATAAACAACTGGTTTAACCAGTTTCCACTGCACGTCAAACAGGGCAAAGTGAGAGAGATCATCTTTAATTTTTCAAGAAGAATAATAAAAACTAATTTATATTCCACACTTAAAATTCGAGGGGATTAGAAACAGGCTAACACATGATGTCATCTACTTTAACAGCCTTTTCATTTACTCGTATTGTCTTGATACTTTGCAATGATTTTTTATTACTGTAATAGTATTGTTGCTTTAAAAGCCATAATTCTTTTACTTTTTTATTCCCTTAAAGAAATAGTGTGATCTATTTCCCATTAGATTTCATAAACACAATGAAATTTCAGACACAATAGGAGGGTGGTGGTTTTCTTTCGTCTCTGAGGCCTCCCCTCTGAAACATCAGAGCTGATAATAGTTCGGCCTACACATGCATGCTCCCATAGATAACTGGGTGGTACGTGCACCTCCTATTTCAAAAACACAAGCAGAAAGTAGGTCTGGACAAGGGCAAACTGCAACTCAATTTCTGCTGCAATCCTATCTCAGGTAAGTTATGTTTATTCCTTCATTTTGTTGATATAGTCAGTGAATTTGTTGACGTTTTCTTCCTGCTGTTCTAGAGCATCCAGGACAATGCCCATCGGTGTCCTCTTCAAACCTATTCCTTCCATTTTATTCTCCAGTTTGTTCTTCAAGTTCCGAAGTCTCAACGATGCATGGATAAACATCACTGCAGAGAAGTGACACCTGGTTAACCAAAGCAACAACTCTCTTTTGCCACATCAATATTACACTCCCTCTCTCCACACTTTCAGTGAACTGCCTTAGTTAGCTACAGTCCAGTCCGCTTCTCTAATTGATCCAAACCTTCAAATGGCTCCTTGGACTTTATATAAAGCTCTTCATCAAGTCATACATAGTTTTTTGCCACATTGAAGGAAAATGCTGTATTCAACAGGAAGGACCATAATCTGGAAGCCACACCCTTTCCTTCACACACTGACATCATCATCACCTTGAAGATGTTGCTTAAATGCCCTGAAATTCCGAGTGAAGCAACGTGATTCCATCCTACCTAAAAATCAACTTACCGGAGGCTTTCCAGAAAAGAACTCTTGCTTGATTCAGGAATTATCTGTATCTTGTTCCCTGCAGGAGCATGTGAGTGAAGTCCACTTTTAAAGTGCCTCCCAGGAGCTTTTCCCAAAGTGTTGGGTATAGAATTCTAGATTTAAAAGTCTAAGGGCTTTATAGAGTTTATGTAGCCCACTGTTCCCCAAACTTGTTTGATTATTTTACCACAGATTCCGTGTCCCCTTTCTTGGACCTCCTCAACCTGAGCCTTAAAGAGACAGGCCTGGGAATCTGTATTTTAAACAGGTAACCCTCTCTCCATATGTGATCTATACCAGTGGTTTTACAACTTCCATGTGCATTCAAATCACCTGGAGAGCCTGCAATTTCCTGGTCTCCACCACCCCAAATTCAGACTGTTACAACTGAGGGAAGGCTCCAGAAATTCATTATTTTAATACTCTGGATGATTCTGATGTAGGTGGATCTTGGACCTTCATTTTGAAAAACACTGATGTGGATGCATCTGGAGGATATCAACCTAGACCGTCCATCAGAAATAGTTGAGGAGCTTTCTAAAAATATAACATTCTTGGGCACCACTGTTGATCCACAAAATAAAGGTGTGGCTGGGAAATTTATATTTTAAAAAAGTATCCTGGATGATCTTCACAGTTATCAGTTTGGGAATCACTTATCTAATCTCCTTATTTTAGAGATGAATGAACTACAGTCCATTTAGGATGACTGGTCCAAATCTGGTTTCCAGCAGTCTAAGAATAGAAATCAGGACGCTTGACTGCCTACCTCTGATACATTTCATTACACTGGCCTGTCGCAGACTCTGATATGGAACGGTGTTGAAATTAGCAAGCTGTTTGATTAAATAGCATCATTGAAATACTAAGCCTGTATCACCTACAGAAAACCTGAAGAAAATTTCAAAAAGTCTGAATTTGTTGGTTCAAATATTTTATCCAATATGGTGTGGGATGCATCCATGAATATTCTGGGCTTAATCTAACAAAGCGCTATACAAGCAATTAATTTCATTTAATGGAATGAATGTACATGTAAAATGTTACTGAAAGTTAAAGGGATGTGCCTGTCACTTGATACACTAAAATTTTAATCAGATTTCTGCTGATTAGGCTGGGATTTTATTTCTTCTCTATTTTAGGCTTCAAGTGTTTGGAGTCTTAGTAAATAATGCACGTAAAACTTAGGGAATGTCTAGATCTCTTAACCAGAATCTGAGTATTTACTACCTACATATTGAGCCAATTATTCCTATAGACTTACCAAACTCTTAACACTAGTTATGATCTCCTGAGCAAGTAGAGAATAGTTTACTTTCAAATAATAAATACATTCATTCCTGTGTCAGGACAATAGAAATGGCACTTAAAGATTGAGAATAGACTCTAGAATTATAAAAATCTGGGGTCTAGTGCAGGTTATACCACATCCCTGCTGTATGACCTGGGATTTGTCTCTGTTCTGTTTGCTGTTGTGTCCCCATAAGAATGTATGACACGGTTGGGTGCCATGGCTCACGCCTGTAATCCCAACACCGGAGGAGTCCAAGGCAGCTGGATCACTTGAGCTCAGGAGTTCAGGATCAGCCTGGGCAACATGGTGAAACCCCTCTCTACCAAAAATACAAAAAGTTAGCTGAGTGTGCACCTGTGGTCCCAGCTATTCAGGAGGCTGAGATGGGAGGATCACTTGAGCCCAGGAAGCAGAGGTTGCAGTAAGCCGAGATCACACCATAGCATGGGTGACAGAGTAGACCCCATCTCAAAAAAAGAAAAAAAAAAAGTAAGACACATCCCAACAAATATTTGTGGAATTAATGAACTACAAGGCCTTGACTCTACTCAAAATACAAAAATTAGCCAGGTGTGGTGGCATGCAGTGGCTCACACCTGTAATCCCAGCTACTTGGGAGGCTGAGGCAGAAGAATCACTTGAACCCGGGAGGCGAAGTTTGCAGTGAGCTGATATTGGGCCACTGCACTCCAGCTTGGGCAACAGAGTAAGACTCTATCTCAAAAAAAAAAGGTTATGGAATTCCCATTGGATAATTGCTACTAATTTTTTTTATGATATAAGAAAAAGAAAACTCAGGTTCACTTACACAGCAAAGGAAAAGTGATGCCAAACACAAAGACCATGACTCCTCCAAACATGGATATAAGGAAATAGCTCGCCAACATGACCACCATAACGAACGTCGTGGGGTAGCGCTTCTTCATCCGGCGAAGGGCGTCTTTATTGTGGGCTGCCCACACAAACCCTGTGAACACCAGCACCACCACGATTCCTCCCAGGATCATGTTGAAGGGACTCAGAAACCTGAGATACGGGGAAGAAAAAGTAGGGGTGACTAGTTCAGCAACAGAAGTAGCAAAAGAAGAAGGATGAAAAAGAGGAATAAAAACAATTACTGAGAATTTACTAATAATACTTTCTCTAAATTGTCTCATTTAATTTCTCATAAACTTATGAAGGCGATACTATTATTTCATTTCTCAAATGAAGAAACTAAGGTGACCAGCCACGTTGGCTTACGCCTGTAATCCCAGCATTTTGGGAGGCCAAGGCGGGTGGATCACCAGGTCAGGAGTTCGAGACCAGCCTGGCCAACATGGTGAAACTCTGTCTCTACTAAAAATACAAAAATTAGCCGGATGTGGTGGCGCATGCCTATAGTCCCAGCTGTTCAGGAGGCTGAGGCAGGAGAATCACTTGAATCCACGAGGGGGAGATTGCAACGAGCCGAGATGGCACCATTGCACTTCAGCCTGAACGACAGAGCAAGACTCCACCAAAAAAGGAAGAAAGAAGGAAGGAAGGAAAACTAAGGCATAGAGGTAAGAAAATGGTGGGGAAGGGCAGGAATGGTAGCTCACACCTGTAATCCCAGCACTTTGGGAGGCCAAGGTGGGAGGAT